ACGCATTTTCTTTGTTATGACACTACTGCAGCAAATTTAATTCCCAGTGAAACAAGGAACTCTGAGGGTAACAAACACAAACTAACATAAGACTCTTAGACAGATAATCCCTTCTAATAACTGTTGAGATATGCTGGCAAGGTAGATTTGGGATGCTTGCATAATTAATGTTTAGTCTCAATAATACAAAAAGGAGCTCCTAAAATGTAAAACCCGACATTTTAAACACAACTGTTGCACTTTATTAAAAATAATGTTGTAGTATTTTCACTTACTGGTCATTGTGCAAATGTAAATTTAGAAATACATATTTAAGAACATTGTAAGATCATCTGTAAAAGAATCTAAAGTCTCATTTTTGCATTCAGACACTGGTCTACTGGATTAAGTAGTACGTGGTGCTCAACTTCATCCGCTTATATAAAAAAACCTCATTTGAGCCTCACTATTCATATCACTATTTCAAAATATTAGCTGGATAGCTACCTTCATTTTAGCAAAAAATTTGATTTGCCCTTAAACTTTATCATTCCAGAATGTGCTATACCAAAAGCATGACAGTATTCTTTGGAGACCCTCTCTAACTAAACTCAAGTATATTCAAAGTTATACTCTTTTTATCAATCACTAGTTATAGAGCAGTTCTATTTACTAAGTATGACTACTACTTCAGGGCCACTAAAGGTCCTGTGGAACAGATATCCTTGTGTAAGGACATCAATATTCAAAGGCCAACAACAATTATGGTGACATGTCAAATCACCTGCAGAAGCAGATCAATCACATGGATATAAAGCAACAAATACTCAACTTGGTACACCTTATAGCTTATTCTGGAGAGTAAACAGAACTACTACAATGAAGCTTAATGAAAGTTCTCAAGTAAGACATCAAGTTTTTGACAGCCATGGTAACTTTTCAAGAACTCAAAAAGACTGCCAGATATGCACTTAAGAGCAGCTTACAATACTCTAATCCAGAGGCCCACTACACGGTGCAAGCTGTACGAGGCATGCACCATACCCAAACAGCACAACACAGAAAAGCAGCTTGTCTCTCCAGTCATAGATTCAAGACTGCAAGGCTGCAAAGCTAGTACAATTCTCTCTGATCAGGGCTATTTAGTTAGGACACTGTCACACAACTCTTAACTGTATTGCTTTAACTTGTGCAGAGCATGTGTTCAGCCAGATGCCACAAACTTGTGGGGGAGGAGAGTTTCCTGCACAGTCCTCAATTATGCAGTACAAACATACCCTCAGTTGCCCTTGTCCAACCATAAAGGGAAAACACCAGTTCAAGCTTACTATGTTAATGTGAAAAAAATCTATATTCACCAGCATAATACTCTTCAGACCTGTCATTTGACTTAACATAACAAAAGCCCCATGTCAAATAAGAAGGCAGCAGATGAAAGTACCTGTAACCCAGCTGATAATGTGCATGCACAGCTGTTAAAAAATAAAAAACAGCAGACAACCACATAGCCACTTCAGAAAAAGCACAAGGACATTAATGCCCTCTTCAGTGAGATATGGCAGACCACAGAACTTTTACTGCTTTGATTAGGAAAGCCAGAAGGAAAAGCTGGAAATACCCCCTTCTCCAACAGAGCCACTTTCAGTTCTATCATCATCTACAGTAGAATTAGTGATAAAAACAGATGTGCTTCATCAAAAGAAAAAGAAAACACAAACCCATTACTTAGCTATACTGCATGGTCTACCTTGTGAATATTTTGAGATACATGAAATAGTATCAAGTACCAAAGGAAAAAAGTTTCCATCTACTTTTTTTTTTTAAGGTAACAAAGTATTTTGAAAATATTACCTGCAAATACCTAGAAACAGAACAGCAATATATTTTCCTTTAGATGCTACTTACAGCTGTTGCAAAGAAGCCCACCAAACTACACAGTAATGAACAGCATAATGACAAAACCTAGAAGCTAGATCTAAGATCGCTAGTACACAGTATCATGCATTTTAATACCATTATTGTAATTGTTAAACTCACCACTGTACAGAAAACAAACTGCCATGTTCCACTCCTATTTAAACAAACCTAACAAGAATTACCATAAGTAGATGCTGAGGGAAGAGGCAAAACAAGACAAGCGTATAACAGCTCCTCCTTACACTCTCACAACCTCCAGCTGTTTTCAAAGTCAGACTTCCCGAGGCTGTTGCTCATCTATTTAAAAACCTCAATGTATTTGTCTTCCAATGCTTGTCCAACCTCCCCTTAAGTCCACAAAAACTTTCATGTACACATTGTATAACAAGTACGCCTGTGAATCCCTACACTGAGTAAAGAATCATCTTGTTTGTTCTGAACTAAGCATCTAACTCTGATTTGACTGTGTGCCTCCTCTTCCATGTTCACCTACTCTCTCCAAAGCAGTTTTATAGAGCCTTACCATATCACTGTGCCATCATTTCTACCAGGCTGACAACTCTTAAGACTGTTGAATTCGTTCTTGTCTTTGAACTACTTCATGTTTTGTTGTCCTTTAGTGAAGGTTTTCCAATAACAATGTATCTGTTTTAAGATGAGGGGCAGAACAGTTTACAGTATGTAAGGTATGAAAGGACCACAGATCTATGCAGTTCCATGTCTTTTTCCTATTGTATTTTCTAGCCATACCAGATGTTCTGATCATCAGTTGCTCTCTGGTTGTAATAACTATCAGGTATTTGCTTCACCTCCCCCTTCCAACTTCCATGTACACATTGCCACCAAGTAGGTTCCTCAAAATACCCAAGTTCTAAACACCTGAAGATTCTCTTCTTTAAGACTGGACCTAAAATACAAAACAAGCAAGGTTACAGGATATTTTATACTTTTGATTAAATAAACAGAGTGGGAGGGGAACATGTGACCGACAGAAGCACTCCTCTATATGAGAGGCACCAGAACTTAACACATAACATACCTAATACTATATGAACACAGAAACAACACTGGACGAAGGAAGAAAAGAAAATTTTAGAGAGTTCTTTGTTTGATTATGCTCCTGTACTTTTAAGCCACTGCACTGAAGTTCTTAAATTTGATTCTCACTTTCTACAAAGTCCTTTCATCTTACTGAGATGTTTACCTCTGAAAAAGCTATGCATATGTAAGCAGTTTCAGCAAGCTTTGCTATCAGGAAGGTGGCCTGTACTGTCAAGAAACACAGGATTAGAAAAATTAAGTCAAGCTGTATTGTCAAAAATACTCGTATTTTGGATTAAGTCGCTTTTGTGTATCTAAAATTACACCTCTCCCATACAAAACCCACAACAAATCCAATATTGTGCAATACCATGTAATTGCCCAAGATCAGCATATTCTGTCTTTTCTGTAAGCCATTTACCTGTTGTGTTTTCCACAGAAATTCCTTTTTTCTAGTTCCGGCACTGAGGTCAGGCATTGCTGTTGCAAGGAAACCAACCTGGACCACTTCACTGAGCACCTCTGTTTAAAACACCTACATCAAAAATGATCATGCAACAGCACAGCAGCTTTTGCATCTGTCCCAAAAACCCCTAATTAATTTCTGTTACAACAGAACCTTATGACTCCTGCCAGGCCTGACAAATGTGCTCAAGACACACTGACTTTCACATCATCTGCAATCCTCTTTTTGTTTGGATTCACCTGAGCGTAACCATTACTATCTTCAACTTTAACCCCACACTTGAAGCCCAGAGTTTTTGCACCTTGCTCTACAAAGCCTAGCATCTCTTTACTACATGGGAGTATTCTTCTGCCAGCTCAGAAGAGACACCTGATACAGAGGAGCAACGTAGTTTTAACATGAATTAAGCCTATCAAGCAGTCTGCTCTTAATTAGAATTTATCTTGAGCAATCTAACATAAATTGGGAATATGCCTTTTGGGGGCAGTGACACGGTGGAAAAGTGGTCTGGAATAGATCTGCAAAACACTGACTTCTGAAGTCAACGTACAAAGATTGTAACATTTGCAAAATCCATGGACCTTTGAACCACTAAATTATCAACACTCTTGTTATAACAAAGGAAAAACACACTGAACATACTGATGTCACAGGAAGCGAATACTTCATTAGACTGCCAATTTTATCAAATGTGACTCAAGTCTCTCCTTGAAGAGTAACAGAAAAACGATGAAAATGCATGTGTTTTCAGTATTATTTCTCTGTCTGTCACAGCACGCTTTGTGTTACAAACTACACAAGCCTCCTCTTCAGGCACTGTAGACAAGTTGCTGTGCGACACCTTTTTGGAAAAGGCCCTGAAGGAGAACATCAGAATAAGAGCTCAAAGGCTCATTAACAAAATCCAGACCTTGAGTCATTCGAAGGGAGGGGAAATTACAACCGTGGAACCACATGTATTTTTCAGTAGCACAGGAAGTAAGGCAACACATGCCTGCTTTACTGAGCCACCGGCCCGGGAAGGAAACGAACCTCAGCTCCCTGGTTTTACCCATCTGCCTCCCAACAACACTCCCACCCCTAGGATTAGACACCCGTCCCCACCACGCCGCCGCGCACCTCGAGGGCGAGGGGAAGCTCGCCGCTTGCCATGTGTGCGCACTTCTCCCTCGCCCAGGAACTCGTCAGCGAGCGGGGCAGGCAGAAAGGCGAGGCCAGGGGCGGCCGCGCCGCCCACCGCCGCCGCCGGCACAAGCCCCGTGGGGCTCTCACAAAGGAAGGCGAGGGGGGCGGAGGGGGGATCCGTGCAGACGCGGCCGCCGAGCGCACGGAGCCCGCGGCCGAACAAAGGGCTCCGGCCCCGCGCTGGGGGGGCCGGGGGGGTGAGACACGGCCACGCGGCCGGCATGCGGGCACGCCGGGCGACAGCGGCCGAGACCCCCCGCCCGCTCGGGGACCGGCGGCGCCGGGGGCGGGGGAGCCACAGCGGGGTCCCCGCCGTGTTCCCCGACAGAAGAGGGGCGGGACGGCCCCTGCGCGGCTCTGCCCCGCGGCAGCCCCTTTGTGCGCCCCCCACCGCACCGCACCCCCGCGTTACCGTGGTGAGCAACGGTCTCATCTGCTCGCCCGCCCGCTCCTCTTCCATCGCGGCCCCGCCGAGATCGCCCGGGAGCGAGAGAGAGCGAGAGTAGGGGGCGCGGAGCGACAGGCGAACGGCGAGCCGGAGGCGGACGCGGGGGCTGCGCTGCCTGGCGGAGGGAGGGCGGGCGGCGCCGGTGCCCTCGGGACGGGGCGACCGCGACTGCTCCGCCGCGCCGGGGGCTGAGCCCGGACCGCCTCGGCGGCGCGCCCGCTGCCCCCGCCCCGCGCCGCCGCCCGGGCCAATGGGAGGCAGCGCCGCGCCCGCCGCCCCGCCCGCCCGCCGCGGCCCCCCGGGGCTCCCGGGGCAGGGGCTGCGCGGGGCGGGAGGGGGGCGCGCGGTCCCACGCGGAGCCGCGTGGCGGGACCGGCTCTGCGCGCTGCGGCCGCTCCCCGGCCGGCATCCCCGACGGATGCGAGGGCTCAGCTCCCAGGGTGGCGCGGCGGGAGGGCAGCGAGCTCCTAGCGCTGCCAGTGACTACGGCTGTTCGACGCTTCCCTTTCTTCTCTTTTTTTTTCTGTTTTATTTTTTTGACACCCTTCGCACTTGCTGGTAACTTCTGCCAAGCTTTTACACGCAAGCTGAAATTTTCCATGCCAGGTGCCTGCCTCAGGCTGATTTTTTTTTTTTTTTAAGTTATCAAAATAATTCAGTCATTTCCAAAAATAATGTTATTTGACCTTGCATAAATATTCCAACAATCCTTTATTCAAAAGGCCCGGAGGGGTGGCGGGGGAGAGTAGTGTCAAGGTTGTGTTTTTGGCTGCCCCTGTAAGGCTTCGGTCTGGTGAAAGTTTTTAGAAAGAAACATCTGTTTGCACTTGTCTACTAGAGATAACTTCGCCTTGTCTGCCTCTGTGAAGATGACACCTCCTCGGGCATATTCGGTTGTGAAACACCTTGTGCTGACGGGACTGAACATCCACACACAGCAGGTGAACCATCTCTTCATGCTTCCTCTCCTTGAGGACATGCTCATATCACCCTGGGGCTTCTCCTTCTAACAACATCCACTACAGTTTGGGGGGAATTGCATGCTGTGGCTCCTTTTTCCACTCTGACACCCCACCTGGCCTGAGGAGAAGGCAGCCTTTATTTGCCCAGGACTTCTGGACTGAGCTGTCAGCGAGGCTCTAATACCATGAACACAAGGAGCTGACGGGCACCGGGGGGGCAGAGAGGCCACACTGCTCCACACCACGTGCAATACAGCTAATTCCTTAGACCACTTTCAGGATGCGTTGGGCTTAGTGCTTATTTGTTACATACAGTGCCTGAACTCTGAATGGCTGGAAAACGTCAGGAAAAAATAGCAGTGACTTCGCTGTAGGACCAGTCCCAGCCTGATGTATGAAAAGCAGCAAAGTCTGGAGTCAGTTGATGAGAGGCATAGAGTTTTTAGGATCAGACTAGGATCACAGGAGATGCAGTGTAAAAGAGAAGGCAGGCAGACTTATGCAGATACAATATATCCACGATGCGTCAGGGCAAGGGGATCAGAATTGGATCTGGGTCTCAAACAAGCCCTCTCAAATGGATATAGGAGAGCTATTGGTCTTATCAGCAGCTTTGTAAGCAGCAAATGATAGGAATGTGTGCACCAACAAACACCCTGCTGGACTAAGGGCACTATAAAAGGAGGCTCCACAGAGCCCACAGACAAAAATGTAAACCAGGCTGTAGAGGCAAAGCAGGCCTCTCACTCTGCCTGCCGGCAGGAGGCTCAACACAACCTCAGACCCGCTTCCTTTGGAGGCTGGCCACAGGAGAGTGAGAGGCTCAGAACCTTTGCCTGAGCAAGGGCAGGAAGAGTGGGTTGGTGACCAGTAGCCCCCTCTGTGCTTTTCAGGAAAGGCACTGGCAGAGACAGATCAGTCTGCAAAAGAAATTGGTTCAATGTTTTTCTGAACAGAAGCAAATGTTCTGGAAGGAACAGCAGGTGCACACACTGTTGGATGGCACTGGGCACAAATGCAATCCTGGCCATAAGGCCAGAGCTCAACTTGGAAGAAACTTGCAAATGAAATACTTGGCATGGGCCTACACCAGGTCTCTATAACCTGTACTTTGAGGAACTTATCATTAGTGTAAGCTACACTTGCTAGTTGTACTGAGGAGACGAAGTAAGGCAAGCTGTGTGGAACTGACTGAACAGGGAGCAATCTTAACACACGCTTCAATCAAAGATTATGACCTGGATCAGGTCTCAGCTGAGTTTGAATAGATAATAGACAGAAATAAAGTGCTGTGCACAGGCACCACAAAAATAATAACCTTGATATAAAGGGCCTTGATACACCTGGAGTATAACTATGACCTATTCCATCCTTTCCTCTTCCAGGAACAGTACTGGCAGGTTTCAGCTCAGATAAACCATCGAAAATGGTCTTGTACTAGACAGCATGGATATAGTAGGGATGTATTGTAACTTCAGGTCCCACATAATTGGTGCTAAATATGTGTCTTCGGAGGCAGATTGCAGAGGTCCTTCATTGATATTGGGATAAACACAACCCATCTTCACAAGCACAGAACTCTTCCATTCTCTGGGGACTCAGTCCAGAGAACAGTAATATCTAAAGCAGAACTTCCCTTAATGTGCAGTGAACTACAGTATTTAGTGAGATTTCTTGTGGGACAGCAGATGTAGTGTTTCTAAAAATTCAGTCAGAGTGAGAAGAATGTTTAGTCCATCAAAATGGAGCCTACTGACATGAATGCCGGTTAGGTTTTGGCATAAAAGAATGTTCCTTTTCCACTATCTTCTTGATCTCTGTAGAGGGATCTCTGACAAGATGCTCCAGCACTTTTTTCACTGGCATCGGAGAATACCCAATGGACAAATCAAGGTTCAGCAGGGCTGCAGGGACCAGCATTCATTCACCTTCGTACTTCCTTTGCACACTATACTGAGAACAATATCTCCAGGTGAGCATGCAGTCATTTGCTGAGCTGAAAAACTTGTTTGCTCACTGCATTCCATCTGGTCACCATAGGTATAACTATAGCAGAAAAGGCCAGCCTAGCTTTCCCATGCCATGCTGCCTGAGTGAAGAGAAAGTGATGCCACTGCTCACAACAGGTTGTCCAGAACTTCCAAACATTCAGAAACCTACCAAACCTTCTAGAATTCATTATGGAAATAGAAGCAGGCCAGCATTGTGCATATGAGCGTTAGTGTGACTGTCACTGACACACCAGGTGACATATGAAAGGAGGTGGATAGGGCTCGTGTGGCACTGAAGAAGTGGATCATCAGTATCTTTAATAAGATAATGTACCTGGTCCACCAAGAGTGGCCTGATGGTGCTTTTCCTCCACTCCTCTTCCTCCCTTTCCTCCCCTCACCCCCTCCCTAAACACATTCTTGGACACAGATAGAAGAGCCAGAAATGGTTGGATAAGCCACATCTCCGATTAGGAAATTGCCTGTCTCCTTAGGGCAGCACCATCAGTGTCAGCTTTACACTTTATTCTCCTCCTGTTTAATTTCTTGCCAACTATGAGGCATTCACAGGGCTCAAAGGAAGGAAGTTAGAGGCTGATAAAGGCACCTTCCATCCAGCCTGACACCAGCATCCGATCCACTCCAGTCATCAGCTGCTCTGGCAAGTACAACCACTGACAGGAAGCTACCACAGACCTCACGAACAGGAAGAAAAGATGACGTCTGATGGGATAACTGCAACAGCCATTACCTCTACCAAAGCAGATTCTTTCTCAAGGCTTTTATCTGTTAATACAGACTGTTCCTACGGGCTGACCAATATTATTAATGAAAACATAAACAACTTTAACAGTGCAGAGTACCTGGTGCAGGTAATCACAAGAGCAGATTATTTTAGGTGCAGCAGTGCCCCTAAGAATGGTGAAGGAAGAAAATGCTAGGAGTCAGTATTACGTAGTTCTTGTTAACCTTTTCTTCCCAGACAAAGCAGAAATTGTTTCCATGGCTAGGACAGGGTCTCAGACTGAGAAGCCACCAATGCAAAAAGAAAAGGAGGAGCTGAGGGGAAAAGAAGATAAAGGGCCTGGCCTTTCTTTCTCATTAGAGCATCTGATGCTGGCAGAAGCAAATAAAAAGTCAAGAAATTAAATCTCTGTGTGAGGAAGAGAGGAAAACTAGTTTCTATAGCTGCACTAGGACAAAGAACATTTAAAAAGGAGGAACAAAAGTCATACAAAAGGAGTAAGGGCAAAAAGACACAAATACTAGTGCAAACAATCACGGGTGCAGAAGGAAACAGGCAAGAGAAACACCTGGGTAGGCTGAGAAGACTGGCTCCATCAAAGATGTGGAGTAAGCCTGGGGACAAAGATGCTGATTTCTTGGGGATCAGAAAGGTAAGTATTAGAGGTTAAAACTGCAGTGAGGGGAAGAAGGGGTGAGAAAAGAAACACAAACTACAGCGCTGCAAAAGAAGAAACAGGCATTCTGGCCTAATGCTCTTAAAGACAAACCAAAGGGCATAGGGAAGTAAGACTTCACTGGCAGGAGGCAGATTATAGCAGAAAAACTGAAGAGTCTGAGGACTCCTGCCAATGCACTTTCTATATCACAATTTAAAAAATGAAGCTCATATGTGGTCAACTAAATGGTGTATTCTTTACCTTCTGGGTACCGATTTGCCAGGTTCAGACTGAAAAAAAGCCAAAGACATTTGCAAATAAAGGGTGAGTGTCATGCAATACTTAACATGTAAAAAAATTACCAGTTGAAGTGTCTAAAATTGGATACTGAAGATCAGTTGAAACTCTTGACATTGCTTGGCTAGCCACCTGCAAGAGAGTAAATTCCCCTTCTCATATTTGTGAAAGCTGTCATGAAAGTCAGTGCTTATAAAACAAACAGACATATAAAGCTGAATACTTTAAAAAGCATAAAACAATAATATCACCCTAGAGCAGTAAATAATAAATATATCCTAAGTCTGCACAACTACAATAAAACACTAAAACACTGGGAAGTTGCTCATTAAGTAAATGCTGTCATATTTTCTATGCTGAATACAGCATGAATGGTCTTGTAAAAAAAAAACAAAACAAAACAAAAAACCTAAAGCAAACTAACAAAAAAAAAAAAACCAAATCTGAAGCAACTGTGTAAATGAAGACCATCTTATCAGGCACATGAATAACAGGGTCAAATCTAAACTAACAGCAACCTGCATTCTGGCAGATCCTTAACT